CCCTGAAGATAAACCATTGTGGGATGTACAAAATTGCATACTTGTGTAAACCTGTGGCAGTTAAAGTAATGAATGACAAAGTTTTTTTATTTTTTCACTGTTGCAGTTTAATGAGGACTGTGAGGAGACTGTATTTTTAGTTATGTTTATGTTTGTCTAGGGCGGATTGAATATATGACTATGCAATATGTGACTGTGAACTCATTACAATGTGAGTGTGAGTGTGTGTGTTGTCGAGTCATCCTTGGGGAGTGTAGCCTGGTGGACATTATCTGACAATAGATTTGTTTCGCTTGGAGAAAATGCTGTTGCTCTGCTCGCAGCAAGCATGTGGTCTGCTTTAAAGTCCAAACTCCAAGGCCTGACTTGGCAGGTTGATACAAGGCACGCTGCTGCAAACACTTAGAAAGGAATATTGCTGTGCACACATGGCTGTGATCTCTGTAGAAAAGACAATATAGAGCTTTAAGAGCAAACCAGAGGGAGATGGTGTGAGAATTTCTAAAGCCACTGCTATAACAACACCCCCATTTACACACATACAGATTTTGAATAAGGCTGTTAGAATATGTGTACAACATGGAGTGTAAAGCCATATTGTATTGTAACCTCAACACACTACCCCACACATTTCACACCATAAACTCACAACCCATGTGAGGAGGATAGGCATTTAATAATATAATAAGTTATATATAAAGTAACACTATATGGGATGTGTTCCTGCCTGGAAGTCTGACTCCTTGCTTTCTAGGATAATGTCTTACTCTGCGTTTTATTTACTAATGTCTTCACAACCGCCATGCAGCTTGTGTCACACTGACCGGTCAGATGGCATGTGTTTCAAAAGCTGTTCGTGTTTTGAATTGTGGTAATTATTCATCCCATGAATGCAACCATTTAGTCCTTTAGTTTCTTGGTGTCTTAGATTTGGCCATTAGAATAACTTTTTTTTTAGAGACGGCATGAAAAGTGTGTCCTTCCTTGAATTGAACTGGACAGACAACAAACTGTGTTGTGTGCAGCTGCATTTGAAATTGACTTTGTGTTGTGTGGGAAGGATATTGGTTTACCTTGTTTTGCACAGTAAACACAGACTAAAAACAGCTGATGGCGTCCGTCAGTAGCTCAGGCCTAACCCAGTCGTTGGGGGGTATTGTACCCGGCGTCAAGCCAGCCTGTGTCTAAATAATTCCCAATACCATGTGCCAGGCTGTGCACATGGACCCTAGATTGTGCTGTCAGGAGTTCCCTGAAAGGCCTTCTAGCTCAAAGAGTTTGTGGTTCACAGGAAGAGCTCCATGTCTTGGACACATCCCAGCTTCCACTCTTGGTCACCCCTCCCCCAAGACTCGTAGCAGGGTGACCTGGCTTTGACCCGGTAAAAGTGTTTGAATTCACCGCTGGAGACAGTGTAGGCTGTGTGTGCCAATTTAATTAGGAAGTTGAAATCTGTTATACTCTGTTTGTATGAGAAATTTATTTTTAGCCTTTGGAAATTTGTTTTTCTGTTTGTTCTTCTGTCTCTCTTGGAATCTGGTGTTCTATTTATAAATCAACATATCACTATCAGCAACCAATATGAGGAAGTGAAAAGCTACGATGTTGACAATCTGTGGCGTGGGAGAAATCCAGTACTTTGGGGGTTAAGTTGTGAAAGTTAATGTAATAACTGCTAGCACCATCTGCTGGCCTACTTCCTTACAAAGAGAGAGAGAGAGAGTAAGAGAGAGAGAGAGAGAGAGAGGGAGAGAAAAACGAGTCTGGGTTTTAACGACATCTCTAATATTCATGCTGATGCATTTTGCTGCTTTGTGCTTTCATTTTCCGTCGCTCTGCCTGCCAGAGTCTCGAGCTCGCCACACACGCCCGAGCCAAGGAGAGGGGAGGGCAGCGAGGGAGAACAAGGAAAAAGATAAGTGGGGGAGAAAGGAGGAAAAAACAATCAGCCAAACAAGCGAGCAAGATAACACAAAAAAGGCTTTTGTGTGTAATAAAAGGAGTAACCTACCTTATCCCAGCTGGTGAAGAAGACGAGGAGAGGCACAAAAAGAGAAACGACTAAGCGGGAAGAGCAAGAAAGAACAAGAAACAAGAGGGTGAAGGCTCAGAGAGGCACTGAGTGCACTCACGAAAGGCAGGCAAAAAGAGGAATCAATGAGAGGGGAGGAGAGAGGAAGGCAACTCTGACACACACACACACACAGAGTGAGTGAGGGAGACTTGGGTGAAGCCGGACGACAGTAAAGCAGCACACAGCAGCAGAATGAGAGCTTCCTGGACTGCCACGCACCTCCTCTACCGCCAACAGCGCTGCTCCCCCATCACCCTGTGAAGAGACAGGCGAGGGTGAGAGAGAAAGAGAGAGAGGAGAGAGAGTGAGCTCCCATGCGCTCCTCTTGAGCCCTGCCTGCTGGGGGAGGAGGAGACGAACAGATCCGGCGCTCTTGCACTGCCCGAGGAGAAGAGCTGACCGGGAAGGAGGAGGGGAGGCAAACGAGGAGTGAGGGAGGGGAGGGGGGGACACACGGCTCAAGGAAGAGTGAGAGACAAACGAAAAGGAGAGAGTGAGTGTGTTTGTAACAGAAAGTGTGAGTGAGCAACGGAGAGAGAAGAAACCCAGCGAAAGGGCAAGGCTTTTGTTAGCCGGTTGGAGAGGGGGAGGAAAGAGGAAGGGAAAAAAAACACCATGTCTACAGTGAAGAGGCCAAGAGGAAGGGTAAGTGAGCTGTGCTGAGAGCTGGGAGGGAGGAGGGACAAGGGGGAGGAGGAGGGGCCGGCAGGAACTGAACAACCTCCTCTGCTACTGGCTCATGCTGCACTGCCGCCATCTTGAACTCATTGCTGCTTTTTTCCCCTTTCCCTCTATATTCATTTGCTTTGCTGTGCTGGACCTTAGCATGGTTTACTGGATGTACAGTATTTTCCCCATCCCCACTGTCCAATCATACATCACTTTTCATTCTCAGTTGAATTCTGCTGCCCTGTTCTGTAGTTTATGTACAGTGTATGGTGTGTGTGTGTGTGTGTGTGTGTGTGTGTGCGCGCGTGTGTTTGTGCCCTCTATGAGTTGAGCCTGTCAGTCACCAGAGACCTCACTACATGTGGAAATGAGAGGGTGGGAGCGAGGGAAAGGTGTCCGGCCCAAATGGAGCTTACTCTACCTTTTCATTAGCTGTAATAGTCCCTGCCGTTTTCATGGGACTGCGTGCTGCTAGAGAGATTGAAATCACTGCAGTGCTGGCAGGCTGTAATTTCAGTTATTTATAGATGTATTACACAGCTGCAGTGCTCTCACTTTTGGTGCATTTTATCTTTTCTCTCTCTCTCCCTTGCGCTGCCTTTCTGATAGAAACCTGTTTTCATATTTAGTCTTCCTCTTTCCTACCTCTTTCATGTGCGTTCATGTTCTTCCGCTCTTAAACATTACTTTCTACTCCTCCCTCTGTCTCTCTCTCTCTCTCTCTCTCTCTCTCTCTATTTTCTTTCTTTTCACCAATAACTTAAATGAGAACATTCCAGCATGATCTGGTAAATTTCCTCCTAATAGCCTCAGCGCCGTGGCACACGTGAAAATCATAATGCAGCTTTTGTGTGTATGTGTGTATTTTTTTCTCCCCACTTCTTCCAAATGAATTGCTAGTTATTCAGTTCCCTCCCCCACTTTGTCAGTGAGGTTCAAGCTAATTCTCTTTATTTAGCTAGCAGTGTGGAAAAAAAGCAACCAGCCGCGCCTGGGCCATGTAGGCATACGCAACACATTTTTAGATTAGGTCATCCATTTATGGGTTCCCTCTCTGCTGGGCTTAAAGCCCACCACAGGGTGCTTGTGTAGTCATAACCGCAGTCACGCCATCTATTATGCACATATTATCATGTATCAGGCAGGCTAGATTATTTATGTCTGCGAGGCTCACTGTGACCTGCTACATTGAACCAGTGTTTAACCCTCCGTTTGAAAAGCTTACTTGAGCCAAAAGAATTTCAGTTGACTTTTGATGTCACATGGTTTCAGAGTTCAGACAGAGGGTCGTCTGCCCTTGATCTAAATGAATTCTTGGAGGAAACATTGGCCTTTCATCAAGCTCAGTGTCTACTAGTAGAGTAGAGTTAAAGTGAGCATCATGCAGAGCATGGCAGGTCCACCCCCCACCCCCAGCTTTTGAGATGGGGACAGCAACAAGCTCTGCTGCCGGAGTGCTTCACACAGCCTTGAGAAGGTTCTGTTTTTCTGAATGAGTGATATTTTCATTCGTCACACGAATGCACCCTAGTATGTTGCGAATTAGAAGGCTGGATTTTAACATTTAGTTTCTTCCTCGTTTTAGACCTTGTTTATTTATATTATATTATATTTATTATATTCAGCTGCTTACTGTACAGTAAAATGGCATCGTACTGTGCTTCCACGATATTCTATGAAGGAAACAATAATTCGATTGTGTTAGCTGAGCTGTGTGACTGTAGTGGATCCACATGCTGAATGCAGCTATAAATACAAGCAGTGGTATTAATGGCTTGTTTTGTTTTTTGTTTTTTTAATAAATGCTTATGGTGTTACAAAACAGGAAGATGTTTTGAACAATATCTTTTTTCCTTTTTTTTTTTTTTTTTAATTGTTTGTTACCAAACCTAGTGACAACACACCTATATATGTAGAAATATATAACCTGTAAATGGCTGCAGGCTGTATCAGTACATCCACATTGTACCTCATTGGCTTTGTAATCTGTTATATGCATTATGTAAATTAAGGCTGATGTTGTTGTTTTTTTTGTTTTTTTTCCTGTTTTGCATTTTTTATTTATTTTTTGTGAGTCAGTGTTTTGAAGCTAGTATTTGGAAATTTGTTTTGTTATTAAGCTTTTTCTTTTTAAAGATCTTTGCATCACTAGATTTTTCTAAGGTGCAGCTTTTTGTTTCGAAGGCTCGATGACATCACACACCTTTTACAGTACCATGCTCACTATGTTTCTGTTTATTTTTCTCTTTGACCATAGCCTCGAAAGAACGCTAATGGTCCCGGAAGCCAGATACGGGTCCTCAGTCCCCCAATGAAGAGCAGCTCATCCTCGTCATCATCCTCTTCATCTTCCTCTTCATCTTCATCCAGCTCCTCATCAGAGAAAAGGGTTCCACGGAGGACGCATCATCAGATGGATTCAACTCCACAGGACAAGCAGGAGAAGGCAAATAGGATAATATCAGAGGCTATTGCAAAGGCTCGGCAAAGAGGGGAGAAAAACATCCCAAGGGTTATGAGCCCAGAGAGCTTCCCCAGCTCTTCTTCGCAGTACAAAGCCCACCGTGATCATGAGCACAAAGGAAATGGGAAGGCACGGTCCAAGGAGAAGGCCTGCAGGAAAGCTTGTATTGTACCCTCCTCCAAGCCCAAGCAGAAGGCCAAGATCGGGTATGTAGTCACAACCATTAATGCTCAGCTATAAACTGCTGCAGTGCGCTGTTGCTTTGGCAAAAAATAATCCACTAAGCATCGCTTTGATCTCATGTCTTTTAACTCAACTCATGCTTTAGTAACAGCGGCATTTCATGAGCCCGTATGCGCAAGTAACATGTGCCACTGATTAACTATCTGTCATTATACTTAATATACAAAAGACAAAGAAATCGTAGTTTCAGCGTTTCAGAATTCAAATTAGGATTTTTTTAAAAATTGTATAGCAATAATATACACCACTTTAATATGTAAATAGGATAAACACTACATTGAGACAGAGATTCATATAAAATGAAAAGTTACAGGACCAAATCTTACATATTGGAAAGCTTATGTCAGCTATTGTATTTTCTATAGATTATGTAGTGAAAAACATGTTAACATTATTGATCACTATTTTGTCACTACTGGAAAATGGTTTAACACATAGCTTGCGTTCAGTAAAAGTCGCGTTTATGTTGAGGCTCTTCACTTCACTTCATCCACATCCACTTTTCTAACAGTTCCCACTGAAGCTTAGGAATTTAAAGGGATGGTTTAGAGTTTGAAACTATTACATATTTACGATGATTGTTCTAAATGTTTGATTCAAGAGCCAGTTTAAAAAGAGCAATTTTCAATAGGGGGGGAAAAAAAATTTTTTTCAAGTTCCCAAGTCACAGATCAGTAAGTTTAAACTTGAATTAATGTTACTATACATGTGCTTTGTCTTTTTCTGACTTAAGGTAATTCCTTCTTGCTATTTGCATCAATAAAGCAGCAGCATTTGACTGATTTTAGGTTCTTGTGCATCGGTTGATTTTTATTGGTACATTTTTACATTTATTTTCTGCCTGTGGTTGCCAAGATGGAAGCTCAAAGTTCAACAGACTTTACTGCACGCCATAACAATAAACCAGGCTCAGTCATCAGCATAGACATCGGAGGAGCACACAAAGACTCCATTTACATGCAGGACAGTGCTTCTTAGTATGTTTTTGTGAGTAGTGCTGATGTAAAGATACCTTAATCTGTCTCCCATCCCCCCGTTTTTAACTGCTATAAGCAGTATGTAGCTCTAAGCCACACCCAGCGCAGCCTGTTAAGATATCAGCTGGTGCAGATGTCAATGCAGAGGCAGGGAACTGAAGGAATGGGGGAATGTTTAAATATATCACATTGTACAGCTAGAAAAAAAAATCACTATTGGTTTTAAAGCAGCACCCACATTTGAAACCTAGCGTGAGAGTGGCTGGAAATGGTCAAACTGAATATCTGGTTGGCTGCGGCCTTGGTTAATAATTAGATGAGGTATGCTGAGGGAGAAAATCTGTAGCACATAATGAATTTCACATGTCCTGTGTGTGAAAATGACAAAGTTTTGGAAGTGCTAATGTTTGGGAGAACAGTGAGATGATGGAGGCATCAGTCATTGTGATACAGTCTGCCTACACTTTCAGGTTTAGTTGGAGGTAGGTGTCTGTTGGTGTTCACATTAAGTCATGTCTCAGCTCCATGATGAGCTCCATGAGGTTTGTGGATGTGATTGAATTTTTGAACAAGCTCAGGTGTGATCTTAAAATGAAAGCGTTGTTTGAACTTGTTATTTATCTTTGACTTTTAAGATCAGGAAGCTTCACTCATATTGGTTAGAGAGTGCACACCCAGATCTTTTACTCTTCTAACCACCTTGCATCCGTTGAGACAGTTCTTAAAACCATCAGTATGTAATCAAGTGCAGTCTAAGACTTGATGGCTTTAAAGGACAGCTAACCGTGTGTTTGCAGTCTGTCATTTAAATGTGTCACAGATAACAGTCATTGTTGTTATAAGCTAATGAGCTAAGTAACCCAAGCAACCATACCTGGGGTAAATGTTGTTTTAAAAAACAAAAAAACAGTCAGACCAAAATACAGTCAGTGATATAGACCACATTTTATAGCACCCATTTCTTCATGTATTCCAGCCATTTTGAAAAATGAAGTGTATTCAGGTCAGATGATGGACCGGTCATCTGACTAGAATGACCATACTGAGAAATTTATAAAGTGCACGACATTTCAAATTAGTTTGACTGCTTTGCTTTATATTTTGCTAAACATTACATGACATTACTATGCCTTAATTAATCATATTTTGGGATTTAAGCTATTTAAGCTATTAAAATTGCTCTTAAATATGTTAAGCTGTTAAAATGCAAAAGACTTTGGTGCGAACACGGCAGTGACGTATAGCTGTCTGTATATGACAAGAGGTTTGTAGGAGTGTGTGAATGTTTCCTCTGAGGTGTGAAGATTCATAGCTAAGAAAATCTTGAGGCTAATGGAGCTTTTACTTTGCTAATTAGCAAATAAAGAACAGACAAATTGGTGCGGATCTTTTTCAAGAGCTCCACTTAATGATGCTGCTTGAAGACTCAAAAACCAAAATAACTGTGACTCTTGATGGCCATGTTGATATAAACAAAGACACTTACAGGAATAGAATGTGCATTCACCTAAATCCAGCAAGTCCAGTTTAACTGAGACAGGCAGGTGTAGACCTTGAATCACGAAGTCAAAACATGATCCGCCACAGTCTCACAGCACTCATAAACTTAATCATAAACATAAAAACTAAAACCCATTGTCCTGAGCACTGGATGGCCTGATTTTGTCATAAATACTATTTTCAACACCCACTTTTTATTCTAAACAGTAATGAAGTAAATGTATTATTGCAAATGCACAGGGAGTGACTACTTGTTGATGAAAGACAGAAAGGAGAAAACTTTCCAGGCTAACAAAACAAACATACCAGCTATAAAAGACTGAAGTGACTGGCACTGTTGTAACAGTTACAGTGTTTATTTTCATTTTTGCATTGTACATTTTGACTATGGACTTGTAGAACTACTTCACAGGGCCTATCCATAATAGTGTTCTTGCATTAAGGCTATGAATGGCTGTATTTCTGACTGTGCCTTGGCCTCTTGCCCAGGTTGACTCTTGGTCTGGCAATAAAAGCCCAATTCTACACACATTTGCATACATTCAAGAGTACACAATTAATTATAGATATGTTGTATAATGCATAGTCTGTTTACTAGTTCTTTCTTTTTTTGTGAAGAAGATTCAGTTTCTATTTTTGCTCCACACAGATGCAGTTGGAATATGTTTATATATGTACAGGGAGGGGTAGATCTGTTGCACTTGTGATGAAGACTGCGGTGATTGAGACTATAACACGAAGCGTCTTTTCTGTATTCATAGTGGAGAGAGTCCTGTTTATATGCATGCACCACCAAGGATCTCCACATAAAATATTAATGTATACCGACTGCAGAGGTACTAACCTTCCGCTAAAGTCATTAATTCAGGCTCTGCTCTGTTGAGGGTGTGTGCTTGGCTGTGTTCTGAAAGCTGGAGGTTGTGTGTATTTGGTGCTGTTTGAGTATGTGCTCACTCTTCCATCGCATCGTCTGACTGTTCTTTAAGCAGGGAATTGGATCCCACGATAAGACCATTACCCTAATTGTCGGTATACTTAAGGCTCTGTTTCTCTGAGACCACTATACTGTCATCACTACCTATGTTTCTCGGAGAATCAATTCTGTTTAATGCCTAATAAGTGTCCTCTGGATTACTTGGATAGTTTGCTCACCAGATGCTTGGAAAGCAAATTGGGGGGTCATACAATCATATGGAAAATCTGCCTGTCTGATGAGAATAAATAAATTAATGCAGCCGATTAAAATATGGGTGCAACAGCCGCTGTGACAGGTGGACATGACAGATATCCAAGAAAAATCAAACCGGAGAACAAATGTTACATATTTGTTATCTTTGTCTTGGCTAATATGCTTCAGTATCAAATGACTCTTCTTATCTGGGGATTTTTAATGAAACTATAGCCCAACAAGAATTTCCCAACACTAAAGTCCTAACTGATGTCCTACTTTGGGAAAACAAGATGTGGTACATTAAAATCAGCTATTGGGGAATTATAGAGACTAATCTTCAACTTGGTTTATAACCGTCTTAATAATTAAATTGACTTTAATCACTCTGACTGCTGAATATTTATCAAAGCTTAAACATAGACCATTAGATCCCACAGCATTTAGGCAAATCAGACACATCATCATGGAAGCTCTTATGCTTTGCTGCTATAAGGTGCGATAACCCTGGGGAATCATTTCAACTGTTAGTACTACAGGTGTTTATGTTGAATCTTCAGATTCACTCGTTTGTGGCGGTTTTTGTTTTAATCAAAAGGGCGTTACTTAAGCACGTATTTGTGCCTCAAAGATATATCATACCATAATATCATACATAAACTTGCTTGTGGTATGCTTTGGAAATGACAGACCGTAATAGTAAAACAGATTAGTGAGTTAACCCATCATTGTAAAATAGTTCATTTTTAATTATAAAAGCTTTACTTGCTTTCAGCGTGACATGATGGACTGACCCTAAAAGATGTTGTGGACAGGATGCCTTTTTCAGGGTCACCATAGGACCTGCATATCCTGTTTTTAATATTGTGTAAATACACCTAATCTTAATAAACAGGACTAGGGCACTGATAGATTTTGCTTTTTGCTTTTCAGCCAGAATTTTATAAATTTAAATATTAACCAACATTATCTACTCTAAGGAGAGGAGGTGGTTATTTTACTGGATAGGCTTGACCGATCACGGCTCTCTGTAGGCTGGAATGTGCTTTTCTGTGCAGCCTACCTGCTGAAAAATACCCTCAAATAATTATCAGATGAAAGCAGTGTGCTGCTCTTTTTGTTCCACCCTCCCCCTCCTCTTTACATTTTTTTTCCTAATATAAATTTGGTTCAATCAGCATGCTCAAAGCTGTGCATCCAATGCTTCCTGTGAGCAGGCATGTTATAAATATGCTGATACTACAAAGCAGCAGGGTAGTAGGAAAATATCAAACAAAATGGTGCTTGTGAGATCAATTACATGATAGAAAATGGAGGTTTAAGTCTAGTGTATGTGCTGCAGCGTATAGCTGTTCATATTTCAATGCTTGCCTGCTAGCTGTCTAATCTCTTCTCCCTCACTTTTTTCATTAGGGAAAGCTAAAGCTGTTTTTTTTTTTTTATTGTTTTCCTAGTTAATCCCTTGCAGGGTGCATTTTTGTGCGTGTTCACATGTGCAGGCATGTGATATATAAACATTCTGGGGGTCTGTGCATGTCTTAATGCAAACTCAGATGTTCTTGTGTGTGTGTGTGTGCGCGCGCGTGTCTGTGTGGAAGAGAGAGAGGCTACTACCCATTTTTAATTTAAAAAAAAATATGTTTGCTGTATAAAGCAGAAATCCCATGAGGCCATGTGCTTTGCGCTGATATAGTATTTGTGTTTTAGAGGGTGCTTGATAGAGCTGCTGCTGCTGCTACTGTTTCCAGTTGTTTGCTATGTGGTACTGAGATTATAGCCTTCCATTCATAAGAAGGGGGATTTCCTGAGAACGACCTGCACTGCTGTGTCAATAAGCCCCTCAGGATAAGAAACGCACACAAACACGCAGCATACTTAACGGCATTTTTGAGTATAATTCGTTCACTCAAAATCATAATTTTCTGAGGTAGGCTATCTAATAGGTGAATACTGTTCCTCCGACATGCTGAAATGCCTCATTGCAGTTTTGGCTGGCAAAGCACCATCAGATCTTGATTCTATTAAAATCAAACCCTCACTCATGCACTCTCACTGGCGGCATGCCAAGTAGGACAGGACAACACTGGGGGACAAGGGATGGGGTTATTTGGCACAATGGGGGAAAAGCAGCCAAGAAAGCCGAGCAACTAGATTATTACTCTCAGGAAAAAGCTTGTGATAGCCTATCATCAGTGATACAGAGTAATGTCAGATCAGGGACAACTGTAGTCAAATTAAAGATGTAGGATTATGTCTTGAACATGGCCTTGTAAAATTTGGAATCTTTATCAGGAACAAACATTTCCACCCAGCAACTCTGGGCGGAAATGCACCATAAAGTACAAATATAGGAAACAAAAATGAGTAGAAGTGGTGTCCTCTGCAACCATAGTGGTTATCACATGTCAAGAAACATGACATGGTTGCCAAAGTTATGAAGTCACCTTCTGATATCAGTTAGTTTTAATGGACAAACTATTCATCGAATAATGTTTCGGAGGGTTGGTCTGAAGGTCATTTGTTTTGCTCAAGATTGGGAAACATCAGTGAGAACAAATTTAATAATTTGAAATGGTTTTGACCCGATTGATAAAATTCAACATGGGAAATTGCATCAATATAGAGTTGACTGTTGGTATTATAAGATAATTATTTGTTTAACACATGCCACAGAGACTTTGTTGCAGACAGTTTCTTCTTGTGTTCACTTTCTCATAAATTTGGCATTTTCCTTCAATATAAAAAAAAACAAAACTCTTTTTACAGCTGTCTCTTTGCCTGGTCAGGCTGTTAGGCATTTTGAATACTTAGGAGAATGAATAGAATTTTTGTAATTCAGTGGTTTTCATGCTGATCTTTTAAAGTTCTTTGCATCAGGGAGAACTAACTACTACCCAGAAGAGTCTGCTTTTGTACCACTTTTTGTCAGTAAGGGGTTGACTTCAAAGTCTGAGTTTATTCCCTGTCATTTGAGTTACCATATTTCAGCTTGTGGGAAGTCTATCCAGTCAAAGGGAGAATGTGCATTAGTATTGATGTTAGTAAATCTTTGGGTGGTCCTGTGTATCAGCCACATAAGCGGTGGAACAGGATGTTACCATCACTAAGATGTGGGTTTTGTTTTTTTGTGTGTGCAAGTGTAGAATCTATTTTTCATTACTATGGCATCTATGTAAATCACGTGACTCTCGTAAATGCCATGCACACATGCAGCAGATGTCGATACAAATGTATCCCACCGGCATCCGTATTTTCTGTCTTCACTTTCTGGCTCAATTGATGTTTCTACAGTCCTCAAGTATCTTGCTTCACAGTTCAAGTTTTCCCATATGGGGGTCAGAGAGATGCTTTAGCCCTGTTATGTGCTGTTAGTTGCCGAGCTGCTAAATGGTGATGTGACACTGCTATTCAGCAAGACCCATATCACAGCCAGCTTTTATTTAGTCAACGATAAACATTGTGTTCAGTCCCATTTAGCTACTTTATTATCATTATTATCAGTATTGTTTTTGTGTTGTTTCATTTTGGTTTTTGTCTTCTTTTCTTGGCGTCAGAGCTGGAAACTTTCTTTTTTCTTCCACTGTGTCACTCTGACTTGGCATATATCTTAGCCATTCGTAGCGTTAGTAACCATGTACTGGTGTTGTTTTCACAGGAAGTGATGTCATGAGGAAGATTTAACACCCACATAGCCAAATACACTCCCAAGGGCATGTTGCATGGCAACCATAAAGTGTCATTGTCAAGAGGATTTGTGAGATGTAATATCATCCAGAGAGGGGTGGAGGGGCAGGGACAGGGACAGGGATGCCAACTGAGGGGACAGCTCTTCAGTGTTGCTGGAAGTCTGTTATTTTCTACCTTACACAGTCAGATATTATAATGGGTATGTGGATGAGTGTTTGTATCACCTGAAATGTATCTAGTCTATCAGACCACTAATTCTATGTTGCTTCAAGTATTTTTCCATGTAGATAAGCTTCAGATGATTAATTTTTTGACATTAAAAGTGAAATGTGTGAAAAAGTGTCAAAAATATGTTTTCGAGGAATTTTATTTTGTTTGTTTTTACTTTATTTTAACTATGAAAAAAATTGGGTTATAATGATATTTATGCACACTTACAAATATATACGAAGATAAGACTTTTAAAGAAGTCTTAAATCGGAATGAAATGATAAATCGGAAACAACAGAATTAGTGGCTTTAAATATTGAAGTTGCTATCTTGACAGTTTGTTTCTTTGCTGTCCTAGTTGCACATATTTTTCCTCTCACACTCTTAACATGTTTGAAAGCTTATAGGGAAGAAGATATATATTTCCTATCAATATCACACCAAGCCAAAGATTTACCACTTGCGGCTAGCAAGAGATTATGCATGTGGAGAAGTGTCTGCATATGTGGTTAGAGAATATATGGAGAAAGGTCACAGAAATGATATGTGACTGAAAGAGAGGAGATTAGAATATGAAATGCTGGCAAAAAATTAAAAGCTTGCATATAGTCATTCTGCAGTTTAGTTATATTTGCTGAGATGCTGAAGATATCTGGAGCTCTGGTACTATAAATGTATATTAGACCAAGGTAAGAGTTTCATCACCCACAAACTAGGAATGGTATTTTAAAGAGGAAAGAAATATTTACCAAATTAGGATCGAATGACGTTGGTGTGAATCTTCCATTTAAGGAGGAGCTTTAGTAAAGCACCGAATTCCTCTCTGTATAAACTGATGCAGCGTCCATTGTGAGCATGTTAATACGTGCAGCCATTCTCTACAATCGTTCCACTGCTGTTATATGTATGTTGGAGTTTGACATAAAAACTGCATTTATTCCTTTTGGTGTACAGTGCAGCAAATGCTTTTCTTTTTCAATGTATATGTTTGCAAGGGGCCCAATAGTTTTGGTTGTCTTTCCATCCTTCTCTTAGAAGTCATTAATGATAGCCTTTTTGTTAGAAGTAGTTCCTTATCCACCCACTTAAAAGCTGTTAAAATGTCTCACTTTAGATTTAGTTCAAAATAACCCTGTTTCTTCTGAAATAAATGTCAGTTCTTTTGAGGTGTTTTTGCTTTCTGTGATGAGCTCTTAAAAATGCATTCACTTTGCATTAATATACTCCCTAAAGTTTATGCAAGTGCAGAATTGTCAAAAACAATGAACAAGCGAAATTGCCCATGTAGAATATTTATACTTGATAAACAGCTTGTAGAATGTTTAGCAGGACTTCATACACTTGAACACGTTTATTGGGTAGATATTTTTTTTTTATCATTTCATATTTAAGAACTCTAGACATGGACACATTTGTGAGATAAACAAGATTTTTAACAATGTTTTGAAAATAAATGTAGATTAATTTTACAGTGTCGAATCAAGCACGAAAAGGCAGAAAACACTAATCAGAAGCCTCTGGATTGTACCATTAGGGCATTTGTCCAGCTAAAATATGCCTAAAGCAGAGTAAAAATTGTATATTTGGTACATGTTTTTTATTGTTTTCATGGGGTCTTTTTCTCTCTCTTAGGAAAATTGTCATCAAGATTGGAAAGAAGAAAAGGCGAAAGCCCGAGTCTTCAGAGGAGTCGGATGATGACCCTCCCCCTCAACACACTTTGAAGGATGATGACTCTGTGAGTTCCAGTATAAAGTATACACAAACTTATGCAGACATACATGCACAGTACAAGCCAACAAGGAACAGGGGCTCTAATGAGACTGGGAGAAATTAGTGCATTTCATTGCCGTTTATCAAACCAAACTATGAACCTTACATATGAGACAACACTAGAATTTTAAGTTGGAACTTGGCTATATTTGACTGTGTTATTTCCCCACTTTATTCAGATTTTGTGCAGGTGTTATTGAGAGCAGACGAGAAATACGAGACTCTTTTTCTGTTAGCTTTCTGATAAAACTTAAGTGGTGTCCTCGGCCTGGCTGTTCACACTGCTGCTGAGCATTGTAGAAGACTTAACAGCTTTAGTCTGATTCTGGAAGGCTCCACTCTCTGGTTCATATGGAGGTCATACAGTGGGTGGCTATCTCAAGTACACATTCTCATCTGTGTTGATGATTGAGAAAACTGACAGCAGAGGTTTTTATCTAGGTCAGAGCATCAATGATAGAATGACAAATTGAACTAGGTGTCACCTTAGTTTACCCTTTAGCATTTAAAACACACTTCTGGTCTGTGTGGAGCTTTTCTCACTAGTAGGTTCTGACAGATATCCAAAAGGTTATGAGTGACATGAATGAATGACTGGGGACGACACCCCACTAACTACAGTGTGTTGTATGATATAATTACGCCCGCTAAGTGGCACCCCAGGACTTAATTAAAATAGTCGGTGGATGACTCATTTATGATGATCTTGTGGAAGAGGTTGAAGTAGCTTGGCCGCCGGCTGGAACAGGAGCATGATCTCCTCAGGGGCTCGCTCCTATTGTTGTGGCATGCGGCAGGTTTGAGTCTCCAGCTTCTGGTCAGTTTGGGTTTGTGAATGTGAGGGTATATCTCCACGGGAATACTGTGCTGCACACCTAATTAACTGTGGCTCAGTGGCATTTATTCCTAATTAACTACATATTATCATTAGGAGGGGCTCGTGTATTGATGCAGGATGCAGCTGCCCACGCATATGATAATTATAAAGGCTTGACAGGAAGGAATAGAAAGAAGCTGGGTTTTAGAGCACTTTTTTTCTGATTTTAAGGATATTTTTCTGGACTTTGACTTGGTTTTAGTAACGTAAGGCCAGTAATAGGTTATGTTGGGCAATGGCCTGCACAATGGAAAACTCTATATTATCATTTTGAACAGGGAAATGTATAAATGTTAAGTGCTTTTGCTAGGGCTGTTCGATATAACGATGTATATCGGATGACGATATAAAAACATCTATTGTTTCATTTTACGCTTCGTGGTGTCGCAAAATAAACTATTTATGGCAATATTTTTTCATCGTTTTGATGGTCACTGTAGTGACTATATTAATTTCTTAAAATTCTCTCTTTCTCTTTTATTTAATATAACCACACTACGGATGGACAAGCGCCTGTTTTTATGTGCTGTCATTGGCAACAACGACGGTAAAATCATCGTGTGTCCGCTTGTTTATTTTCCAGGTAAACCTTTCACAATAAAGCTCAAGATCCTGTTGAGACTTTTCAAAATAAACTGAATCACATGAAAAAGTATGCAGAGTATTTATGGATGAGAAGCAAAAAAGAGCCTTCGGGTGCTAAAAAATAAACCTTAGACTCAAACGTTAGAACAGGCTTTCCCCCGCAGCACGCTGTGTAATAAATACTCACAAAGAAAACGGCGGCCGTTACAACCTATGTCTAAAAATGTATAGTTTCATGCATCAGTTAAAACACTCGACTCCAGGTACACGACACCCAGCTGGAAAAACTTCAGCTACCCGAGATTCACAGTTTACAGAAAATGTTAAATTTTTGTGATTTGTGTCGTTATCAGGACGATAGATGTTTTATATCGGGATATGAGATTTTGGTCATATCGCACAGCCCTAGCTTTTGCCATTTGTGTTTTCAACCAGCAAGAAGAAGGATAACATCTGTGATCATAGAATATTAAAGAAAATATATTTGACAGTAGACCTGATTGTTAGCCTAATGCTTTTCTAATCTTATTCTAAATTCTAATAATAAAATGTTGGAAGCACTGGCAGGGATTTATATGAGTAAAAGCATGCTCATTAGTCACAACTTTAAAATAGTTTGTAGATTTTGTTGCTGTCAGTTTAAATCACACTAAGCGTAAATGCATGTGTAATTTGCCTTAACTAAGCAGTGGGACACTCTAGGGCTGTACGATATGACCAAAATATCATATCCCGATATAAGAAATCTATCGTCCTGATAACGATATATAAATCACAAAAATTTAACATTTTCTGTGAATCTCGGGCAGCTCGTCTTGCAGGAAGTGTTTCCAGCTGCG